CTCAAATCATCACGAAAGTCATCGTAATTAATAACTGCCCTGTTACCACGGCCTATGCCTTTGCTGAGTAGACATATCCAAAGCGGCATATAGGTTAACAGAGTAGCGTTCCATTTTAATGAGAGGTGGCAAGTGTGTGCTTACCATATTTCTTTTCACAATGGATACGTGGCTAGTCCTTTTAGTAACTTAACTGAAACGAATGAAGGTGGATGTGGTTAGATAAGTGACATGTAACCCCTTCTTAGATGAAAATATCTACGGTTCAATCAACATGAAGTACAATGGGTTACTTTTTGTACCTTTGAGATATTTGTCTTTGTCATCAAATTAAAACTAAACATATTTTCCTGATCAACAGTGGCCTGAGACAGTGGTCGTAATTCATCATTCCCATGACAGGAATCATCTCTATAAGGTAACCCTTTTTTATATCAGCAAACAAAAACACAATGGGATGATTCCGATAAAGAATCAACGTTGATTCGAAGTGGCAATACCAAAACGACTTTGTATAACACAACTTGTGTGACATTAAACACGTTATTTTAAGTATAGTAATGTGGGTATTAACACTGACAGCTATCTCATAGTTCATAGTAATACCACAGCATGATGAGACTAAAGTCAAGAGTGCAGTCACTCCAATGATTATACATTTATATTATGCGTATACTGCAGTGTTAATTACAAAAAATGCTTACCAGTGCTTCCTTAATGTGATAATTTAGTAAATATGTAACAAGCTATACTAGTAGCTCTGTTTATTAACCCTCATGCAAATTATCCACTGTGGTGGACTGCTATGATAACTCTGACTGCTATGAAATTCAATTAAACATTGGCAACACTTGTGGGGTTGGGTGGGGGGGTTCCTTTGATTTCTAAAATTACACTGAACAAAGCCATGTTTTTACGTTAATAATTCATACACGAGGGGGTAAAAATGTTGATCTTTCCCTTGCATTGAGTTGTACCATAAAAGAGAAACATAGTTGATAAATATCAATTCATTCCTTTTTCCAGACCAGAGTTTTGGCTCCAAGGCTGCTGAATGCATTTTCTGTTGGCTGCTATTGCCTAAATCTTCATTGTGAACCAACAATTTCCAGGTCTGGGGGAGCCAGCAATTACCATTCATATGTTAGTGCTATATAATTCCCTCTGATTTTAAATCGTATAATTATGTTTTGAGTACTATTATAATAATTGGCGAGAGCATAATGCAGGCTGATGTCCATGTATAGCCAGACTATGACTAATCTGCAGGCCAACGAACAATAAATCAGAGCTCAAAACATCTGAAATAATCGGGGTCAAAAAGTGCCGAGGTCAGCTCTGGTGACTGTAATTAATTGAATGATTGATACTATTGCATATAACCTGCTCTAATTGTATGGCCACACCTGACCTTGGCGCTCACCTAAACATATCTGGATTAAGATGAGTGTGGGAACTGGATCCTTTCAATTCCTCCTGTTTTCAATGCTTAAATAAAATAAATTACAACCATTCTCAATCCACCATTGAACGAAGACAACCCTACACCATGTCAGTTATGGTTTTTTTTTGGCCATATGCCAGGCTGGTCAGTGTGGGGTGCTGAATGTGGGAGGGGAGGACCATTTCTGATTTAACTTGTCACTCACTGCTAGTGGTGTCTGGGAATGGAACTCGGGTCGCTGGGTTCACGGCGCAGCGCATTAACCATTATACCACTACATCACTGTGCTAAACTCTCGACGCTGATGTAGAATAACACGATGTAACACAATTTTTATTCCTGGGTAGTGTTATTTTATAATTGCTTATGCCTAAAAACTATAGAAAATGTCTATTATTCCTGGAAAAACTTTGTATTTGTGACCAGGACAGTGATATTAAATTTTTTTAACCTATTTTCAATGAGAAAACGGGCGATTTTGTGTCTTTTCGTTCACATAAAGTCAGAAAAAAACATGTGAATCAAGATTAACATGTGTTTATACTAAAGTAATACAAAAATTACTACAAAATATTTAGAAGTGAGTAGTTTGTCGAGATTTACGATTATACTGTAAATCACTTTCACGAAACAGCCCCCAAATGTAGTCTCCCATCATGTTCTTGATATACTGTCCTTGGTAGCGGCATTCAAAGTCCAGAACATCCTGGTGGAAGTGCTTGCCTTGCTCCTCCAAGTATTCTCCCATGTTCTCCTAGAATTAATCAAGATGACCATCAAGGATATGGACTTTGAGGGACATCCTACAGCCCATTGTGCTGTAGTTCTTCACCAGAGTCTCAACCAGCTCCACATAGTTTTCGACCTTGTGATTGCCCAGGAAGCAAAGAACCACTGCGACAAAGTTGTTCCAAGCCGCTTTCTCCTTACTAGTGAGCTTCTTGGGGAATTCATTGGACTCCAGGATCTTCTTTATCTGTCGTCTGACGAAGACACCGGCTTTGACCTTTGCCTCAGACAGCTTAGGGAAGAAGTCTTGAAAGTACTTTAAGGCTGCCGACTCCTTATCTACAGCTCTGACAAATTGTTTCATAAGGCCCAATTTGATGTGCAGTGGTGGCATCAGCACCTTCCGGCGGTCCACCAGTGGCTCCCGCTTGACGTTGTTCCTCCCCACAGAGAACTCGGTCCGCTGTAGCCAGTCCCGCCTGTGGTAGTGCGCCTTGGTGTCCCTGCTGTCCCAAAGGCAAAGATAGCAGGGAAACTTGGTAAAACCGCCTTGGAGACCCATCAGGAATGCCACGATTTTGAAATCTCCGATGACCTCACAGCCGTACTCATCATACTTCAAGGTGTCCAGCAAGGTCTTGATGCTGTTGTAATCCTGTTTGAGGTGCACCGAGTGAGCCAGGGGAAGAGGTGGGTACTTGTTACCATTATGGAGCAGCATGGCTTTGAGGCTTCTGGATGAGCTGTCAATGAAGAGGTGCCACTCATTCTGGTTACAGGCGATTCCGATTGCCTCGAACAGACTGCTCACATTGTGGCAGAAGCTGCAAAAAGGTTGGTGATGCTTCCTCTGATCTGCGACTTTCACGCTTTCATCCAACGAGTTCCACTGCTTGAGCTCGGCATTGGACTTGGTGAGACCAAGATCTCTGATCAGGTCGTTGAGGTATTTTTGGTTGGGGTAGTATGGGTTTCTCTCCTCAGCTCCACCTCTGAAATTGTCATCTGGATCTACAATGTCTTCCTCGCTCTCTGACTTGCTGCTCTCTGCTAAAGACGGCTGTTCTCTCTCCAGAGGAGTGGGTACAGGGGGGATGGATGAAGGAAGGTCCGGATACGTGATAGCAGGTGCATTCTTGCCAGTCCGAAGTTTGTAAGGGTCCACCATGCAGAAGTAGCAGTTGCTTGAGTGGTCAGTGGGTTCCCGCCAAATTCTTGGGATAGCAAAATTCATGGCTCTCTTTTCCCCTCGTTACCATCCTACAAAAATATTCATTTCATCCATGACTAATTTGTAAGAGATTTTCGCAACATTTTTCATATATGATATGTTTTTTCAATAACATTGAAAATTGTTAAACATTTTTAAATTCTAAACTTTTACAATTTAAAAATGTTAACAAATTTTATAACATAAAATTCAGAGCATCAATTGTCCATCTTACCTTCCAGAGTTTTTTTTTGCATTGCTCGCATGTGAAATTAGGTGCCAAGAGTTTGTCTTGATCCCCGACAGGCATGCCGAAATATGTCTTGCAGGCCTCACACATCTTAGCAGATGCGTCTGCCAGATGCTTGCAGCCTCTTGATGCTATCTCAGAAAAATGCAAATATGTATCCACTTAGGCAGCTGGAACTAAACTGAACGGGTGGGCTTAACGTCCCGGTATTTATACTACCATTTATATCACTGGAAAGTTCTAGAATGTTCTAGAAGTTATTCCAAGTTTACTCAGCACTGAATCTATCTGAAATGTTCTGGAAAATAGGTAAATTTCAAAATATCAATGTCCAGGTGACAAAAGCAAAGTTTGTGGGGAATAATAGCAATTTTCTGTACTTTTGAGGCATCAGGAATTAGGAAATAACACTTACTACCCAGGAACAAAAAAATTACACAGTGTAATTAAACATTGTTGTAGTAGGTAGGTTGCACCCCCCCCCCCCCCCCCCCCATTTTCTTCCGAATTAAAACAAACTAAAAAGTCAAGATACGGCAGCATATGTCACGTAAAGACAGCGGAAGGATTTCTCACCTTTTGACGAGTTAAATAAATCTCAAACATCATGGTTGTTGGTGAGACCTCATTAAACAGTCCAGCTCCATAATAATAGGGTTTTTCCCCTTTTTTCTGGCAACAAAACTGAAACCTTTTTACAAGGATTCATGTCTGCATTAACCACAATACCTGCAGTCAAAATGCAAACAAAAAACATACTATGACAATATATATGCATTGTCCTTGAAACTGATTGGTCCACACCAAGGGACGGCTTTCTTTTGAGCCTCGACCCAATTGGTGCTCGACCAGATGACGCCAAAAGGCGTACCCATCCTTGTTAAAAGGTTTCAGTTTTGTTGCCAGAAAAAAGGGGAAAAACCCTATTATTACATTTTGGTACTGGCAAAGGAGGTCTAACGAGGAAGTCCAGCTCCAGATGTAGATTTATTTGGTGCACCATTTTATTGACACAATCGGCTCCTAAGTAGTTGGTTATACATTTGGCAGACGTTGAGTAAATGTCTATTTTGTCTACTTTGAGTAAACGTTAAACCAATGGATATAAGCAAAACAATACAAACAAAACAATAGAATACTAGCAGAACAATACAGAACAATACAGAACAAGCCACATTCACCAAACGTTTGATTATTCTGTCAGAAGGTTTGAACATGATACTTAACTTTGTTTCATATTTTATTATAATCTGACCACAGTCAGGATTGATTTTATGTTATATAACCTTTATAACATGCCTATAAAACGTAAACATATTGCTTAATTTAACAATGTAATTACCACTTCTGTTCTGGAACGGCAAATCAGCAGTTACATTTGCTGGATGATTTTGCAATGACATTATAAACTTGCGGCAGATTTCTGCATTATCTTGAACGTACCCGATCGACTGGGGTAAATTAATCACATGTAACCTTTTTTTACTTTATAAATGCCATTAAAGTTAACACCAGTAAGACAACGTTATAAAATACATTTGTGAAATGTGTACACGATAACTTCGGGACTTCCTAATAGTGTCTGCAAGTGTGACATTACATTTTGTTACGTTTACTAATCATTGGATATACATCATTCTTATTTTTTTCCTGTAAATGCGTAGGGTTATGGGGGGAAAAAAACACACTGGGATGATGTTTGTTCGTGGCCACACATTCTCGGTTGCCAACATGGTTTTACTGATGTATTACCCGTTCTAATGGTAATCAAGTCCACGTGTGGCAAAGAATATACTGTGGAAATGTTCATACCTACCTGGGCATCTCAGCGACAATGCTACATATGTTGCGCACGATACAACATTCATTTGTTAGGGGATTTAAAGCACGTCGTCGAGTTTTACTGATTCCCAATTCAAGCGTAATTGTGCATTGAAATCCACACACACACGTGGTTTGATAAACATGACAAGGTGACTGTTAATACGTGTAAGGTTTATGGTTAGGGAAGCCTGCATTATGGCGTTACTTGAGAATGTGAGGCCAAACTGGGTACTCTGAATCACCATGGTCAACAATCGTTGAACCGAATTGCCTTTTCCAATTCTGTACAAACAAACCAGTGCTGGTTGACTGGTTTAAATGGGATCTGGGCACGATTTAAAACTGGATTCGCTTGCCTACGGCTTAAACTGTCGTCTGCGAGACTGACGTTTTTTTTTGTTGCTACGGTTCAAGAGAACAGTTGCCACGAGTCTGGGCAAGATTCACAACCGCTTCCCAAGTGCTGACGGAGCAGTAATCAGACCATTTTTAGCATTGTGCTACTCACTGCCATCATCTCCTGTCATTGTGTAATATGGTGCGCGCGGTTGGCTAATGGATCACTGTTCACTTCCGAGCGTGAACTTTGAACAGTGCACTCAGGCAGAGGCACGAGGATCGAGCACAGTTATCCGAGCGCCGTGCCAGTGTTTGAGCCTCGTTTGCTTTGCTCGTGCGGTTATTTCTCCAAGTCTCACTTTGTTCGGGGGTTCGCTTACACGAGATTCACACCTCGTCGCGTCGTCTGACTCACGAGCCACTGCAGAAGCAGCAGCTGCAGTCTCTACGGAGGGAGTTCCTCAAGCGGTTGTTATATTCGTGGGGATTAAAAAGAACATAGCTGCTTTTTTTTTGTTATTTTGACACGCAAAAAAAATATAAAGACTTCAGCAGCAATGGGTTCCCTGTTCCGGAGCGAGGCGATGTGCCTGGCGCAGCTGTTCCTGCAGAGCGAGGCTGCCTACAGCTGCGTGAGCGAGCTGGGCGAGCTTGGCCTCGTGCAGTTCCGAGACGTGAGTGTTGCAGCCCCGCGATCGCAATCATCGTCATCATTATCATAGCTCCCCCCCCGACTCCCCCCTTCCATTGCCTGCCCCATGAATTATTCTGTTTGGTGTGAAATCACTCCGGGGGAATGTTTTTTTTTTAAATACCATTATATGCACCAGATGTTTCTGTTGTGTCTCGGTGTTTTAAAAAAATATATGTTTCTCATTCCTGAAGATGTGTTGCGTTTTATGTTATTTTTGGTTGATTTCAATGACATTATTTTACTGGGAGACAAGGCAATTTTAAAAATGCCCGAGAGAAATGGAATGGAACATTGCACCCCACGTTTTATGAAATCATCCTGCCACGAGTGAATGATTGGGCTGATGTTACTAAACTGAACCCCCCCCCACCCCCACTTAATGGCTTTGATGATTTTGCCTTGATTATAGCAGAACATAGGGGTGCTGCAGTGGTGTCATAGTGAGCACACTGGATTGTCAATCCTGTGCAGCGCCCCTTGACACACAATGGTGCACGTCTCTTAAATCCTCCAACCCCCCGCCACTCAAAGTTATAAATAGGTACGCCGCAAATTTTGTCAAGATTGCGTATGGTGGATAAAAGTGTGGGTACTCTCAGCTCTTCCAAGATATATAACCAGCATGGAAGAGTAGGCCAAAATAACCTGTAGAGGGACTCTAGACAGCGCCTTTAACTGGAGACCCTTCTGCCAAGCAGTGTAACGTGTAACAAGATATTACAGGGTTGCATCTTGACCATGTATAGAAGAAATACGTGTTCATTATGTACCAAACAACTTCTTTGGAGAATATGTTTTGTTTGATAAGGAAGCATAGAAAAATGCACATTCGAATCCAAGCATTGTTTATTGAAAAGTCTCCATATACATGAGGAGCAGTGAGCAAACAAAACGCTATTATTAATACCATTACCGTAATGTAATGGTTCGATGCCTCTGTCAGGATTTGTTTACACATTTTTTCTAATTGCCACGGCTAGTAATGTTGATTGTTCACATATGATTTGAGCATTCCGTGTTTACAATAGACACATTAGCAGTGTTGTGTAAACCCTTCACTGGCCATTTTCTGTTTTACCAAAAATTGTATTGAAAGTGCACAATGGGCTTATACTTTACAGAAAAACTTGCACATTTCGGTAAGGTGACGCTTATTAAATATACATTATATTATCAGATAGACCTCACTGAACGGGGGGGGGGGGGGGGGGGGGGGGGGGGGGTTACGTTCCTAGAAGAAAACATGTAACACCGCATTCGACAAATAATAGACCTTATGGGAAAATAGGGTTGTGTTATTGGGTCCGAAATTGTTAACACCTTCCTCTTTGTTTAAACTAATTGTACATGTTCTTTGGGCCTTTCGGTAAATATTATGTAGATAGGTTGAAAGACAATAACAAAAAACTACGACGTTTCGATCACAACACAAGCGATCGTCATCAGGAGGAAATACTAGATTTTTTTTTGTGATCGAAACGTTGTAGTTTTTTGTTAATTTCTTTCAACCTATCTACGTGACTTTACCGAAAGACCCAAACAGTATGAATTCCTGCAGTCACGAAAGCTTTAAGTCAAGATTGAATTGTACATGATTTCCGCACTTGTTATTGTGATCAAGGATGCTGAGTCGCTCCCCATTTATTGTGTATGTGTACCCTCTGTATTTTTAAATTTCACCTCAACACAAAACCCCCGTCTCCATCCCTCTGACCCTGCCACTTGAACTTGTTGATGATGATTCACCATCGAGGTGTCCGTCTGGCTGACGTCCTCAACGAGTGGATGGCTAGATGCATGCGGCAATATGTGAACATTGCGTTGTGCGTGTTGAACGTGTTACACTTACATACGCAAACATGCACAAAAAAACATACGCAAAAAACATACATGGTGAATAAATCGTTCTCGCAGCCGATCTATTCACACACCTTCCAATGGATGCAGCACTCTTGTGGCACTGCTTTTCGATGCGGAGGTGAGAATCTTAGCAGCGCCAATCCGCGTATAGTCGAAACAACACTGTCGTGTTCTGGAAAACAGACCTCAAAATACACCGTGTATCGCTCAAACAGGCGTTCAATAGATCCACGTTGAGCATATGGTTTCCTGAACCATATATCACTATGTAACACAATGTTTGTTCCCGGGTACTGTGTTATTTTTTAATTGCTTATGCCTAAAAAGTATATAAAGTGGCTATTATTCCCCACAAACTTTGCTTTTGTGACCAGGACTTTACGTGAACGAAAGACATAAATGCACACCACGTTTTCTCATTGAACATAGGTAATTTTCAAAATATCAATGTCCTGGTTACAAAAGCAAAGCTTGTGGGGAATAATAACAATTTTCTGTACTTTTGAGGCATGAGCAATTAGGAATAACACTTACTACTCAGGAACAATTTTTTGTTACACAGTGAACCAAAGCCTAAATAAAAGCATATCTTGAAAATTAATTAGAACCATTTACAAAAACGTGGTGATAGTACCAAGCTAAATATCAAAAGCGGAGTTTGATAGAGACATGGTTTCGCAAACGTCATTTACAGATTTTTTTTTAAAATAACAATGGTAAATGAGAAAAAAAGGCGTAAATATGAAAATTAACCATATATAATTCGAAAAATGGATCATGAGTGTCGAGGCACCATACCCTGTCGTGCCAGGAGAAGGCAGTACAGCAAAAATGTGGACTCCACCTGTTCTATCTGTATGGGATAGAGTGTTGCCCCCTCGCACACGTGGGTTTTTTTTTCTGGATGCTACCGTTTACTCCTACACTTATAAGCACTCATTAATTGGCCGATAACACATTCATATATAGAGGACCACAAAGTTCGAGGAGTAATATGGGTCTGGCTCTCTTATCTGGCCGCCTTTCCCAATTGTCTGTGGTTCCTCGCACCTCTGAGTCGTTCTCTGCCTTCAAGGGCAAGCTAATACTGTGTCGCACATAACAAATGGAAATGTTTATTAATTTTCCACTCGAACGCAAAATGTGGATTTGCGTGTCTGCACAATTGACCCTTATATCTTACATAGCAGAGAGATTAAGTAGCCCTAGCTTACCTCCAAACAAATACGGCACATATATTTTGTAAAATTGCAATCCTGCAGCGGTATTTATTTATACGTGTGGTTGTTTTGTGCATGATATGCTGCAGCCTTGATTGTTTGTAGCCCTTAAGATACATACATTGTTGTGGGGATGTAGCTTTCAACGCAATGCTCAAAGCTGTCTCCCATAAACCCGTATCGCCATTATATATAGTGATTCTCCTCAAGTGGCTACCCCCATGCCAAGCTCTGCACAGTTTGTGCATTCACATGCATAGTCTACATGTAATGTTAGTCGAATGTCTGCATGAGCCACGCAGAACTTTAATGTTTATTTGGTGACATGCACCAATGACTCTGTGTAGATAAAGAAGAGTGATGCAACCGTAAAGCATGCAGACTTCATATTTTATAGCAGAACTACTCGCAGCAGACATTCTTCCAGCGCAAATGGGTGACAGCTTTCCATATTGCTTAGGCACCCTATATATACACACATACACACACGTGAAATATGGCTGTGAATAAGTAGTAGATGTTATGGAATATTGGGCAACTCTGGAAAGCAAGGTGATAGAAATTGGTGCATGTGTGCCTAGTTATTATTTGAGTTACGATTTTAAAACAAACCACAACAAACAGTTAATCGTGAGTAAATTCAGTAAATATACTGCATAGTAGAAAGGCTGTGTATATATGTGAACTCTAAGAGGGTGCAAAGATTCCTTAATACAACGTTATGCAAAGCCCTTGGGTAATAATAAGCAGTAGAATGCATTTTACAAATATACTTCTCAGTCAATTCCTTTGGAAAGTAAAATTCTGATAGAAATAATGCACGAGGACTGGGTTATTGTTGAAGATGGTGGTTGAATCAAAATAGAAATTATTAGAAAGGATGCCCTGTTCAGCAGATCTTTCAAATTTATTTTTCTTCCTGCCCACTGGATGCGAAGATGAACCTCCGAATTGTATTTCTATGACCTATGTTATTTAGAGGTTTCATTACAGTTGGACAAATTATTATGAGAATGAGATACTGAATACTGTAAGCACTGGAATATTGCAGTGCTAATCTACTTTTTTAGGCGCTGTATCGTACATGATAATCATGTAACAAAAAATGGTGTTTGGAATAACTATTGAAAAATAAAATTGTAAATTTAAGTGACTGGGTAATTTGAATGGCTTCTCCCCAAACCTATTTGACCTTCTTGTCGATACGTTAGTGCACATGTGAACTTATAATTGATTATAGCATTAAAACACATTCACGTTGTTTCTTTCTGAATGTACAAATATATATATTTTATCACCGAGTAGCCAATAAGGGAGTCATTTCACTGCCTGATTTATTCAAGAAATCTAATATTGATGTTTTAAGTGGCATGTGACTGAGCAGTGGTTGCTTCTGCATACCTATGACCATGTTATCGTTAAAGTGAAACCTTTTAATGGTTGGTATTTAGAAGAAAAAAAATCGAACAAGCAATTTCGTAGGGCAAACACTATTAAGTCTGTGGTTCTCTCCAGAGTGGTGTGTCTGCTCCCATAGCTCACACATCCAGTGCCGTTCCAGTGTGACAGCATCACCCTGTTAATACACAGTCCTTATATAGCAACAATTATAAATGTACGGCCCGTTTGTCAATGCACTGCTGGATGAGGCCCCCTCCCCATTAGGTGTGAGGGGGTGGGGGCTCATCTACGACTGCCAACAACGTAACCTTGCAGCCCTATGACAACCTGTTCGTGCATGGTGCTCACCCATGCAAGCATTTTCCAGATTAAACTCTGCTTTGCTTCCAAGATCTGATGAGATCTGGTGCATCCTGGGTGACTGTTGTATAGACAGCAAAAGGATGTAATAACAGTAATAAGTTGTACATATTAATTGGTAAATACGATCAATGTATAA